ACCCATGATGAGACTGTACATATTTTGCCAGTCTCAACCGCCACTGCGTCTGGAGTACCAGTTGCAACCCACGATGAGACTGTACATAGTTTGCCAGTCACTATACTATTGATTGATTGATTGATTGATTGATTGATTAGAACTTCGGGAGGTGGAGGCCTAGTGACCTAAAACACAGGGTATCCTAGCTTAGGCTCCAGCGTCTACAAATTTTCCTATATACAGTACTATTATATAATTTAAATTGTTACAAATTTGTGGAGAAAATAAAGAATTTACTTACTTACTACCCACATTTAATTTGTTTATAGAATATTACTTTCAATGTACATAATCATAATTATATATTTGGATTTCTTTTTGTTTGTTTTGTTGCCGTGCACCTGGTGGTAAGTGCCACGGCTATCCATAACAATTGCAGTGCCACTCAGAGCTTTAAATCGCAAAGACCTTAGGGGCACTGATGCTGTGCCCGTCACTGCGACGGTCACAGCATCAGTGCCCCTAAGGTTTTTAAGACGTCCCACATGCCTGTAATTTCATAGCACCCTTACCCTTCCAAATTACTGCTTGATGGGAGAAATAGGTTTATAGTTTATAGGTATTTCCCTGGACGAACTCTCACAAGGAGCTCTAATGCTACTGGATGCTATTTTCATGTATACATAAAAAATATTTAATTATTATTATTTATCAGTCGATTTCTGTACAGATAGGAGTTATTGCTAACATCGTTTTTAAAAAGTAAACAACGTTTTACATTGTATTATTTTTCTATTCGTATTTTCCGGTTGACGTAATGTTGTTAAGAAACTTATTTACTAATCATAAGTAAACAAGGTTATTCCCCCATTCCAATTGTTAAATTTCTATCCTAAGGTTGCCTGGAAGAAATTCCTACTGAGCAATAAGGCCGCCTATAGTACATTATCTTACTTACATTACTGTTCTGTTTTGTCATTTAATTTTTTAATGTGCAATAAAGAATTTTTCATTAATTCATTCAAGGCATAAACTAACCCACAATGCGCCGTTGTTATGGCCCAAAGGTCATTAATGAGAACGCCCCCACAAATGTCGCCGTAGTTGATCTGGTATGGTGCTTCTTCTATCTTTATATTGTATCCGCCAAGAATTCTAGAATAACAAAATGTTAAAATTATTAATACGAAGATCGAACACTTAGAAAAACCTCCTTCGATCCAGCTGAATTATTCGCGGAAGTTTTCGCGGTATATGTTTTCCAACCAGACACAGTTACAACAAACGCACTAACGCGGGAAAAAAATATGGCGCCACCGTCTATGCGGAAAAGGCACGAAACTAATACCGAGCGTTCTACTGGCTGTTTGAGTTTGTTCACCCGAAGTAAATTTAATAAATTAGGTACTGTTTACTTCTTACGGATTAAAGGATGCACTTTACTCATGCTACGTAAGGCTATATTAACGTACTTTTGGAGCATGACAAGTGAAAAATATTTTGTTTATACTCTTCAAGCGCAATATCGGGCAATCGGTTTAGAAATTATATTCTAAGGCAAAGCTTAGAATATAATTTCTAAACCCCTTTTTAAATAACCATGGATTGACATATACTTATTTCTAGTATTTTTTTATATAATACCAAGTAAGCGACGGGACGAACAAGTCGAGCGTCTGGTGGTAAGCAACACGCCAGTCCATAACAGTTGCACACCACCCAGAGCCACACAGAGCTTTAAATTACAAAGATCTGAGGGGCACTGCCACTGCGCCCGACACCCTGAGACAAAAGTTGACAAGTCCCATGTGCCTGTAATTTCACCAGCACCCTTACCCTTCAAAACCGGAACACAGTAACGCTCACTTTACTGCTTGGAGGCAGAAATAGATGAGGTGGCAGTACTTCCCTGGAAGAACTCTTCCGCAAGGATCTCCACAGCTATTTATAGTATAGTTCTGGACCGCGATATTATAGTATATGCCATCGACACAGTAGGAAGAAGCAACTAACTCTGGATATATCACGCGAATCATTTCGTACGCTGATTTATTACGATTTTAGTGGTCGAAAATGAAGTTTTTGAACTGTTTCCAAAACCGATTTAAACTAATGAAAGAGTGTATAGAAGTCGAGATAAAATATTTCGAAAAAAAAAGCAAAAAGTTCAAAATGTTCTTGTACCTTTTTTTATCAAAAACTTTCGGAACCCTCGTGCCTTATTTCGAGAAACAAATAAATCAATTGATGAATAAAAACGTTTTACGTACCCATACACTGTGAAAAATTCGGCGTGCAGAAATAAATAAAGCAATAATGACACTAACATTGCACGTGACTTTGAAGGCATTAATAAGTGCAATCCTTATCGTTAGACGTAAGGAAATGAATTAATTGCATTTTACTTTTATGTCATGGTGAGAGAAATACAATTTTTTTACAAACAAAAAATGTAGAGGACATTTTAGGTCCAAGCTACCTACCTACACAGTAAAGAAATCTAGGGATCAAGCACGCTTTTTTTAATTTTTTTTTATAACACCAAGCGACGGGACGAACAAGTCGTGCGGCTGGTGGTAAGCGACATGCCTATCGACTTCCACTGCGCTTGTCACCCTGAGACACCAGCACCCTTACCCTTCATAACCGGAACGCAGTAATGCTCACATTACTGTTTGGTGGCAGAAATAGTTAAGATGGGAGTACTTCCTTCTTTTTTTACGCAGGTTTATTTTATTTTTTATTTTATTTTATTTGAAGGAGAACCAACGGCTGTTATACAAAATAAAAACTTAAATAAAATTAGAAAGCCAATTAAAGGTCCCCACCAATAGAAACACTATAAACAAAATTTGGAGCATCACTTAACTATACTCGTACATATAAAAAGAAAAAAGAATAAAAATAGCTTATCCACAAAACAGATTAAACAAATTTACAAATTTTTTTAGTTATACATCATGGATACCTTCTGCCTGGGGATACAGAGGAGAGGAGCTACTCCTACCGTCATAGCCTGCTGAGAGGCGCGCGCGGGTGCACGCGACACCATAATCATGCAGACGGCGAACGTGTATACCCACGTTCGTTGTCGTGGCTCCTTATGGAGGAAGATGGCGACCGAAGTCACGCCGACTTCTCTCTGTCCTCCGGCACCGGATGTTGATAGCGGCCGCAGTCTTCGATCGGGACGGTTTCGCAGAAAGTTAGGACCGCTTTCCAGGGCCTCTTGCTGTCAACCATGGCGCGAACCACTCTCGGCAGAAAGAGATCTCTTCCCTCAACTGAGCCAAGCGGTCGGCGCTCCTCCGCCAGGCAGACCTCCAGCGTGTGCTGGGCCGTCTCCTCGGGGCAACCCCCACAGTGGTGGCACTCCAATATCACCTCCCTTCCGGCAATCCGACACAGATACCTTCCGAAACAGCCGTGTCCCGGAGGGCTCTGAGTCAACCGAAAGGTAAGCGCACCATGACGTCTGTCTATCCACTGGGACAGAACAGGGAGGATTGGAGGATTGCCTCGACGTTTCGATGGCCTGCACTAGGCTGCCCCTGTCTGTTTACCCACTCCTCCAGCATAACGCGACGGAGCTCGTTCTGCTTCGCCTCGATCTCCCTCGGCAGTACTACCCTGGACGAACTCTTTCACAAGGAGCTCTACTGCTGCTATTTAGGAATCAAGCACGTTGTTGCTAATTACTGAGAATCAGGTTTTCAATGAATTTTTTTTAAACACCAATGGATTTTTTGGTCAATTTCTTTTTTAAATTCAAATTATAAAATTGTCAAAAAAATCCATTGGTGTTAATAAAAATTAATTGAAAAACCTGATTATAGTAGGTAATTGGCAAAAACGTGTTTGGTCCCTAGAAACTTTTGATGTATGTAGATATCCGAAGACATAAGTTTAAAGAAATTAATATTCTTACACTACACAAACGTGATTCATATTATTAAGAAAAATAGTATTTTTTTATGAAAAATAGTGACAGACGTAATATTAATACGAGGAATAAAGATAAACTACCTGTTCTTGTCAGTCAACTTCACAAAATCACTAATTCATATAAGGGGCAACGTATACGTTTCTATGATAAGATTCCGGTTGATATTCAAACTTAAATATTCACGAAGTTTAAAACTGTAGTGAAACAATAACTATACTAAAACTAGTGACTCGTTTAGCTTTCGCAGGTCGTCTCGATCTATGTTGTTTGAAATAATATTGTAAACGATAAAGACTAAGAGGAACAAATAGTACATAGCAGTGTTCTCAAAATTTGACAACTGTCAAATTTATTTTGGATTTGGAGCACCGTAGCGACATCTCTTTAAAATCGCTTAAAATATTTTGCTTGTATATGAGTTAAGGTCTTTCAAACTTGGGGTCTGCCAACGAGCTACGGAGCTCAGCATCCTGGGAGTCAAATTTCAGACCGAATTAGGAGCAGTGATCTACGCTCCAAAATACGAATCGCAGATGTGGGCCAAAAAGTAAGCCTTAAATGGGACTGGGCGGTCACGTCTACCGCATGTCAGGCGAGTCGTGGGCGAAGGCCACCACAGAATGGATCCCCAAAGAAAATGACCATGCGGCAGGCCAAAGCGTCGATGGAGATACGAACTAGACGCGCACCTAAAGAACTGGACCTCAGTGGCGCAAAACAGAGAGGTGTGGAGAGAGGGAAGGGAGGCCTTCAGCAGAGGGACGGTATAGGCTTTTAAACAATTCGCGCGCTACGTCCGATTCGTATCAGGGGGTCTACTCTCGATCTCCGTCCGAAATCCGTCCGAAACAATTACTGCCAAATAAGCAATAATTGACCAAATGAAAAGACGCATGATGCGAATGAAGCTTCATACTTGATACTTGTCTTTTAATTTTGTCGAATATTACTTATTTGACAGTAATTGTTTCGGACGGATGTCGGACGGAGATCGAGAGTAGACCCCTTGTTCCGAATTTTCGTATTTTCTCGGATTTGAATCGGACTTAGTGCACAAGCGACATCAGAATCTTTCTTTACTTATTTAACATGTGTGTTTCTTTATGCAATAAGTAATTAAGTATTCAAAATCGTAATTGTTTTGTAACCAGACAGTGGAGTAGGCAATGACCTAAGCTTTAAGTGATAGATAAACATAGGGTGATATGAAATCCCAAAATTATTAAACACAAAAGGCAAAACACAAACAAATTCTTTTAAATACACTACCGTAGTAAAGTTATTGCTAGTTACACAATCTAAAGTACAAAAGTAGTAAAATGCAATTACATATTTCAAATAGAGGTATTATATACTATCGCTATAATATCTAACCTTCCTGTATTTGTTGAATTAAACATCTGGTGTCCTTAATTCTAAATAGAGGAATAGGTAGCACCTGATCACTCTGTGCTGTTATACTTTTCTACCTTTTCCCTCACTAGCTTGGAAAGGCTTTCTTTCTCATTAGAAATCCGCGCGCAAAAGCGTTTTTTCCATGCTAGCGTGGAAAAGATTTTTAGAATTTGAACTTGATGGACTGTGCACCTAACTTTTTCTTACGATGAAAAACATAGTGAAACGTCTTATACGTGATTTGTCGTACATTATTTATGTACTATAAATCCGTTTGTATATTTTATTCTTATTATTGTTGACGTTAAATTGACCCCGATAACTAATTTTGTTTATTAAGTTATTTTTGCTGTATGAATGACATACACAAGTTACGAGTACACCCAAATTCACGAGAAATATAATTGTATGCCATACAAATATTTCTCCTGGCCCGGGAATATTGTTGGGTAATTTTAATTAGTGAGTGGAAATTTTTCCGGAAAATTTGCTGAAAAATTGGAAAAATATAATTTTGTTAGCTGATAGCCACTTAGAGAAAAACGATATTTAAAATTATTTCACAACAACGGAAAAGAAACCTTTTTTTATTGTATCTATTGTTTTCGTTCAGTAACTTCAACTTTTGACAGGTGTCAATGTCAAATGTGAAAAAATAAAGAACCAAATTTTTTCGATAATTTTATTACGTTTCTGCTCAAAATAAATACTGCTTTTTTTCACTTCTTCATTTTATTAACAGCACTTGAATAATGTAGTCATTTTACAAATTTATAATCGAAATAGTGTACTTCATGTGGTAGTTTTTGACTCCTAATTAACACGACATTAATATTTTTGAAAACAGGAATTGATTACAATGAAATGGACAATATTTTGTATTTTACGTACTTAGTTCTTAGTTATTTTTTACAAATATCTGAGAATGTCCGTATAAAAGTCTATGAACGTTTCTTTAGTTTAGTTTAAGACCGGTTATCTTCTCGATCCATTCCCTGACTTTTGCCACTTTAGCGTAGACGCCGTAAGAACCTGGTGTAGCGCAGCCATAACCGAATGAGACCATGCCCAGTAAACGGTCATTTGATACTGCTGGTCCACCGGAGTCACCCTGAAAACAAATTCAGCAAAGTGTAACAAATGACTTTTTTCTTATAGCTTTAGAACGATTTTGATCGTCATTGATCATGGTCCGAAGAATAAACTTTAATTTAAAATGTATTACATGTTATAATCGATGACCATGTGGACGCAAAACGTCTCAGTTCAAAACCATCAGACAGAGATTTCAGTTGAGCTTTTCATACTGTTAAGATAACAGAGAACTCCTGTCAAGTTACTCAGGAAGGAAAATAACACAGGAAGAATAAGAATGACAAATAAATACCTGACATGCATCTTTCATGCCTTCTTGAAATCCAGCGCAAAACATTCTAGAAGTTAAACTCCCTCTGAAGTAAGGGAAAGGAACAGTTTGACAATGTTCTTTTGAGATTATTGGAACTCTTACAGCTCGGAGTACAGTTGAGTAGGGTCCCTGAAAAACGAAGATCAAAATGTCATTAAGTCCAAGCATATTTTTTAAATCGATCACTACAGTGAACCAATCCACTTCCAAGTGTAAGCATTTTTGTTCACATTTCAAAGGTTACGAGTCATCATCATATCATCCAACTGATACTAATTGTGCACTGTAAAACTACTACTACCAGGGTGCAATTTGCTGTGGCCCGTGTGGAAGTCGGCAAACCGACTTAGTACAATGGTAGATCCCTGCAGAGACAAGATGTGTAATTGGGGATCCAGGGATGTTAATCTAATGCAATATAACTGAGGTGCTCCAACAATATCTGTGCAGCAATTGCTGGAGAGAAAAATAAGAAGCATCTACGCGGTAAGAAGAAGAAGAAGAAAGGCGCTTACTCTAAACAATATTATGGTCTACAAAGCTCTGTAGAAGTGAAGAAATGAATGCATAATTAAGAAAAGAGTGTGGACCCGAGAAGATATTCGACTTCGAATTTGCCAGTCAACCTACAGTTACAGAAAGTAGCGGATGAAATCTTATATACGTCAAAAGTACTTTTATCACATGAAAGTTATAAAAATAATACGAATTACACGAAACAAATTAAGTATATGTGAAATTTTATTAGTCTCCTATTTAAGCATAAAAAGTTATCGATTAATTTGTTTAGTAGAATCTCTAAACCTCTCTCCTGAAAGGTGGCCATTTTGTTGATGTGGATTTATTAAACTAAGGATGCGATCTGTAGATCAGATTCTATTTTAGATGTCGTCAACAGTCAAAGGAAAATTATTTTAACTTACATTCTCTTCAGTGTTACCCCATCCAGTGACAGAAATAACCTTCCCAATAACCATATCTTCGACATGTGCAACCTTGATTGGCTGTACGTTGTCATCAAATTTAATAGGTTCAGGAAGCTCTAACAGTTGAAAGTCATAATCGAACGGATGTTCTTTACTCTTCCCAAACCACATCGGGTGAACAAAACTATTTTTGACGCTGATTTTTTTTCCTTGGTTCAAATACTTTGAACCCACCCTTATGTATGGCTTCTTGCTTTGAAATTTCAATAGAATGGATTATTGTTACATTAACAACGTGTAGCATATCATTACGTACTTAACTAAAGTTAATAAGTTGATCAAATTCAGAAATTATATCAAAGGACAATATAATGGCATAGATTTAATATTGCCCTTTGAAAAACATACGTAGCTTTCTAAATCCATTATTCTCTAACTTCCTACTCTATTATCTTCGAATTGTATGTCCTTGGTTATCTTCAAAAACTCAGTTAAGTGTAACACATTTACAATAACTGAAAACTTCATTTTGCAAAATTATGCAATGTCGTATAATACGTTGAAATCGTTTTAAAAAGTTAATATTGTTTAAGAAAAAATAAAAATTGAATATTGTAAGCAATTAGCAGTCAACAGCTTAATCTAATCAGCGTGAAATCAATTATGCATCAATCAATCTCAAGCTGAACTAATCTGTACATCTCTCTGAGGAAACGAAAATAATTATAAACGTCACCGGGAAGATGGCTACGTCAAGAAGTTTGTAATTTAACATTATTTCGTTTACAATTTACAGAAGGACGTCATATATTTTGCCTATCACTATTTCGAAATAAGTATTTTTTTAAATTCTTTGCAACAATAACGTTCACATTAGCAGTTTTATTTATTATTTACTTTTACCAATCCAAATAATAATAATGTTTAAATTAGTTCAGACTTCAAATTGGTTATCTAGCACACCGAACTACCTTCTTTATCTTCGTGAATATTCTAAATTGATTCTTAAATCAACTATGTCAAGATTTTTATATATATATAGTCAAACTTACCCACAATGACCGGCAGTAAGAATCCACTTCTTATCAATTATAGCTCCACCGCAATTTGTACCATAAGCAACGTGGTAAGGGTACAAATTTATATCTACTTCTACGCCGCCAACGATCTTGTCATCGCCTTGACCATAACTGTAACCATCTTCACCTTCTCTAGTGAACAATCTATTATTCTGACGGTCTACACTGTACTCAAAGTTGTCCACATCAGGCATTTCGGTGGGTTCATCGTAATGTTCAACGTCAAGTTTCATGTCGTCATCTTTTCTACTGTTCCTCTGCCAAGCATTTCCTTCTAAAGCCTTTTTAATCCTCCCTTTAGGAACGGGAATGACGAGTAAATCATATTCTGAAAAATAAAAGAAATTTGTAAATTTTCTCGCATGATTTTGATTAAAGATTCAATGTTGAATTTTATTGCAATCATGTTTTACAAGTCTCGTTCTGAAAAATAAATTCATAGGTAATAAAATTGATTGCGTGTGATATCGTTTAATAAATAACATTTCGTATACACATTACGTGTAATACATACATATATCACACGATTTGGTTTCTACAGAGTGTGTTTCCTGAAACGTTTATCAATTTTTTATTTATTATTTCTACACTAAGGTTTTTAAACGAACATCTTAAGATTTTTAAATCACTTCCGCTTCTTTGTATTTCATTTAATTAACTTAAAATGAACACTATTTTAATTAATATAAGTTTACGATCGTGTAACGTACTTGTCAGTTCGACGGCTGGAATGTACAAAAATGCGGTAAATAAAAATAATGTTATTGACATTTTTAAGGTTGCTACTGGTGACTACATTACGTTTTTACGATGCCCAAAGAGAAGTTCCACTGATTGATTGTTTCATTTTAAGCCCATGATTCTTTGATAAAAGTTAATTTAACGTGAAATTGCCCTGTTCCTCTCAACGACTTTCTGGTAATTGGAAATATATTCGCATTCAGACTTTGCACGATAACGTTCACGTTTTGAACAAATAACATTGTTAATTCATGTGTATTTTGAATTTTTAATTTTATTTAAAAACCGATAACTTTAATTTTAATTGTATAATGTTTTAAAAGTTTCTGATTAACATTTATGGCGAAAATAAATCATAATAAAATATGCAAAAATCAAACGATTGGTCACCCGATGGTAAGTTAGCTGCCAACAGAAACCTCCTAAATCCTTCTAAGAATAGTTTATCTATTATTTTAGTACATAGAACCTACTGTCTCTGGGCTCATACGTAAACCCAGGCGCCAGTACTAGGCGACAAGAAATTAATAAACTTAGGCATATTGCGAAAGACAAAAGGTCAGTGGGATTTCTATTCAGAATTATAGGCTTATTTAAGCTCAGAAAATCCTTTCATTGATCGTTCATTGTCGTTTCCTTTGAAGTGCCTCAAAACGAAAAAGAATTACCGACTATAATGATTCAATATTTGTACAATTTCATTTAATATTATATTTCAGGCATTGTTATGCTGTTTTTGTATAAAATCACAAGGGCAATTGATAGTGCTGCCATCTATTGTGTAACTACAAAAACGATATGCTTACTTTCTTCGCATCAACTTGTGCCATCTATATTTTACGCAAAGAAGTATAATTTACAAAGGTTTCTGTAATCAGAGATTATACAAATACGATATACTTATTGTTATTTTCAGCTATATTTAATAAACAGTTAATTACATACCATCAATCGTTGTTACATTACGCTACTATTATTTGTGTTGCAATGCAAAAACAGAAAAGCAATTACTGCTGGCGCCATCTGGTGTCGAGTAGTATTAACTACACATTTAAAGTGTGTACCCAAAATCTTGCACAGTTGTTTTATTTATAGATATGTAGTTCCCAGTTGCAAATACGGCCACTCTTTTCATAGACATGGTCAACCGCTGCTGGTTTAATTGTCCGCTGACTGACCACGGCTATGTGATAGTCAATTAATTGTCAATGTCCTTCGATTAATAAACTAACTCCATGCTAAAGAGTATTATGGAGACTCCTTTAATTAGCAAAAATACGACGTTCTTTTATTGAAACTCATTTTAGATCTGTGTACAGAATTACAACGAAATTTTTTAGTTCACTAACGAGTACTATAGACAAAATAATGGTGGTTCAGAACTAAAAACAGCGCCTTTGTGATTATGATTCATGATTTTAAGTGACATTAAAGTGCAGTTACGAAAAAAATATATTATACTTCCACTTGTCGATCGGACAATACATATACAATAACAATATTTAGCGGTGTACGGAAAAACTAAGTTAAGTTTATGTTATACTGGAATGTTTTGTTTTTTAGTGCTTTAAATGTAATAAATAAATATTCTTTTTCTACTCCTGTATTTAATCTGTCAATTATATTTTCACCATATCATAAAGGCGCTCTTTTTAGTTCAGAATTAAAATTGTATTGTCTATGGTATTCGCCACGGAGATGAAAAATTTCAATAAAGTACAGTACTATATTGAGTTTCAAAAAAAGAACGTCGTACTTTTTCCTAATTAAAATACCAATTATAACGTTGCTCAAACGCTATACTGCCTCCTGATTGGTTAAATTGCTTAAACTTGTTGCGACCGGGCCATAAATCTTTATAAAAAAAAGATCGGTTAAAATATCTGCGGTACTTGACCAGTTCCATTTTATCTCTTTGGTTTTTTGTTGTGTAGCGTTTGCTAGGTGTTCGTCTAGATATGTGGAGAGGCTGTATGGTGCAATCTTTGCCCAACCTAATAAATAGAAACTATATATCACACATGACAACTATCATAGTATTATCTCAAAATAGCTCTAAGTTATGTATATTAATATTACATATTTAATTTCAAAGCGACAATGTTGTCCTGTCACTTTGAAATTAAATCATACACGAATGATAAACAAATAGACCGAAATTTCGGAGATAAATTATTAATATAGCGCAATAATATAACACAATTATTGACATAGTACTATGTTAGTTGTCAAGTGCGATATATACCCTTAGAATAATAACGCATAGAAACCTAGTCCGCACACGCTAAGTGAGGCAAATGAAGCGCGCCAAAAGGGCCTACACGAGCGGGCGGGCCTTCAGTGCTCAAGATCAACTTGCACCGTGAACAGATCAAGAATTTTAGCTAAAAATGACGAAATGTGCGGCAAATGAGTGTAAAAATACGTCAGACAAACATAAAATAGATACTAACATCACATTCCACAAGGAAGTAACGCGTTTCAACTTGTATTTTTATATAAATATTCACTAAAACCGAAAATTAACCTACTACTAAAACTAGCCTACATGAATTTGATTTTTGCCTCACTTGTGACAGTTCGTTTGATATGAAACTATCAAACGTAATACAATTTATGAAAATAAATTGCGTTTTTGTCATGGATTGTTAACAAAATATGCATAAAATATTAGTTCCGTTTCGTTAGTTTATTGACTTAAAAAGTATTGCATGCAAACATTACATAATTATGTCTTAAAATCTCGTACCTATTACTTAGGCCACTCGTCAAGGCCTCGTGGCCTAAACACGGTACTCGACTTTTGCGAACCCTCATTATGGGACGACTGCATAAAATACTATTTTATATTGACATCTCTTCACTATTTGGGAAAAGAGCTGATGCTCTCTATACAGCTGAACAGATGACTGAAGTATAGATAAGAACCATTTCGATTGAATTAGCATTCAAACAAAAAACCGGTAACGGTTGTAAATCTGTAGCATTGTAGCTCCCATACCAATTGATTGCAATTCGTATGGGAGCTACAATGCTACAGGTTTACAGTTACACAGACAACGGCTTCTAACTCAGAACTTTTCTCTTTTTGCGTTAAAGCTTAAAAAGCGTAATCATTTTGAAAACTCGCCTTTTCCTCATTTTTATTTACTCTCTTTATGTGACAGGGCGATCCGAGTGGACATAAAAGCTTTCTTTCTCTCACTCGTACACGGATGAATATTTTTCTTCCTATTTATAAGTATGGCATTGCTTACTGGGCAAAGGTCTTCCCCGAAATCCTCCATTGCTTCCTGTTTTTTGGCGATCTCACACCACTCCCTCTCATACCCATCAAGGTCGTCCCGCCAACGCCTTCTCGGCCGTCCACGTCGTCTCTTTCCATCCTCGGACACCCAAGGAGTGACGACGTTCGCCCACTTCACAGTTGCATTCGGCTAACGTGGCCCGCCCATTCTCATTTGAGGCTGGCTGTTTTGCTACCCACATCAGCGATTCCAGTTATCAAACGCAGCATTGTATTGCGTACTCGGTCAATTCGTTTGAAGCCCAGAATGCTGCGTTCCATGTCCCTCTGGCAGATCTTGAGGTTAGATTTCTGGAACTCAGTCAGCGACCATGTCAGTGCACCATAGGTTAATTCTATATGTACGTTTTTTTTTTGTGATACCAAGTGCCGGGACGAACAACTCACCTGGTGGTAAACGTCACGTAATTTTTATAAAAAAAGCAAAAGATACCGATTTCAAACTTCAAAATCCGTTGCGCGAAACCGAATTCATCTCCCAGTTTGCCACCCTTAGAGGTGGAATATTTTCGTCAATTTAAATGGGACCAACAAAAATAGAAACATCAAAATCGGTTTACAAATGACGGCCGGAATAACCGCGTAACATACACACAAACAATACAGTCGAAATGAGAACCTCCTGCTCTTTCGAAGTCGGTTTTCTTATATAAGATTTAGTACAATATACAACATGAGATTATAGTACATTAGAACCCAATGGTAAACTTGAAAATATTTAGTAGCAGTAGAGCTCCTTGTGGAAGGGCTCGGTCAGAGTGAAGCGGGCGCGGGTCTTGACGTCTACTCTTTCACAGCGCCGAAGCGGCTACGAGCGGGTAGATCCACACGTCGAAATCGCAAACAGACGCTAGACGCTTGACCAAGCACTGTGAAAGGTACGGGCGGACCGAACCAATAGATCAACCCGCACGTCGCGCGCGGCCACTGTGAACGCTACGAGCGTCTACGTACATTTTCCCACACCCGCTCCCGCCGCTACTCTGTATAAGGCCGAAGAGTTCATGCAGGGAAGTACTGGCAACTTACCTATTTCTGCTGCCAATCAGTAATGTGAGAAAGACTGTTTCGTTTTCGTTTATGAAGGGTAAGGGTGCTGGTTAAATTACAGGCACATGGGACTTGTCAACGTATGACGGGCGCAGCGGCAGTGCTCCTCTGATCTTCGTGATTTCAAGCACAGAGTGGCACTGCAACTGTTATAGATAGACGTATCGCATACCACCAGGGTTACGGCTGTTCGTCCAACAACCGTTTTACAACCTTTTCCTGTACCACAGAATGTAATAAATGATTTGACCAAGTCATTAAAATACGTATGAGAGAAAGTATCAAAAATGTACAGGCATCAAGAGATATTGATGTGAGTTTAGGTATCTTGTAGAGTAGCGAATGGGTGCATAGTCGCTGCCTACCCCAGTGGGAGACATGCGTGATGTATAAAATGTTTATTGACGAATTGATAGTTCACATTACGTGAATGGGAGAAACAGACAGCCGATCGCCCGCAATGGAGATCTTTTGAGGCAAACAAAACGTCATAATTTGAGACTCATCAACGAATTGAGTTGGACGTCAGAACTGAAAGCCCGACCACATGCGGCGATCAGCTACCATTACATTGACGGGTGCTCACGTGCCCCCTGTGTGCACGGATCTTTTGGTACGTGAGAGCGCACGAGCGCCACCAACAGCGCAGCTGACGCAGTTGTCGTGGCCGAAAGCGGTCAGGAGAATTCAGTTCATATTTTTCGATGCCAACTGTCCCTACCGAAAAATAAAGAGGTTAGTTAAACGACAGTGCCAAGTATGGAGC